GCCTCACATTAATCTCTCATCTCCCTGCCGGCCTTTTGAACTTCTCCGCAGCGTAGAGCAAAAGGCTTTTCGTATTTCCTATGATTTTTTCCTTTTTTTCTCCTGATCCACTTCCCATCCCTACTTTCACATTTGAGTGGAATTACCTCATCAATTTGATCCTAAATCTGCCTTTAAGTTCAACGGAGGCTACGTACCTGTTGTGAAGTGCTGAGACTTATTATAGGCTCTAAAGGCTTGTTTCAGTTATTTCCTTCGATTCCCTGAACCATTAATCATAAATTCGTATAAAAGTACAAATTCGAGCCGTGTCTATATTTGTTTCACACACAGTTCTCACCCAGAGAATTACCTTTCTTAGTTTGTTCTAAGGAATCGTGCACAAAAACTTGTTGAGTTTCTTTCCCACATGAATTCATAATGTCTGATCAGTAGTTGAAATGCACCAAGTTCTTTGCATGAGAATTCATTTTCAAAGAAGGAGCATATCTCCGAAGCACTACACTTGTTGACAGTCTGCAGATGCTTGGGCGGAGTCAAGGGACTCATGGAGGAAAATACGTCGGGCGATCAGGTAATGGGTGACGCGTTGAAGGAGCTCCGAAATCCGGAAACTAGAAAAAAACTTTTCAGCGCGATAGGTTAGGATGCAACATGTCAAAAACATGTACTGTCGTAGATGAAATTGTAAGAAAAAGGTTTCCTACGATCTCTAAGAAGTGGATGGTAGCGTCCCCGCAGCCAATATTTGTGACAGTTCCACGACGCGAATTTGAACGAGTAATAGTTTCCGTCCTTTTATAATTTCCTTTTGTTGACCAAAACACAGTTTTTCGCTCCTTCCATTCTTGTCGCGAGAGATGGCTACCAAGCTATCGATCTATGGGAAAGTTGGAATAACACTGATTTCGGGCATGACTCCCTCAAACTAATGACACGGTCTGACTACACCGAGGTGCTTATTGGCAAATTCAAATCAAAGCGCTGACGCAAGATACGGGGGCATTGTGGTTGTAATGAATGTCAAGCCACGTAGAACATCCCCTTTTGTTACCAAGACCAAGCCTCAAAGGGGGAGGAAAGACACCAAAGTGCGTGAGCTATTATGATTTTTTCGAGCTCCTGCCCCATCCTAAGTTTGATGTTAGAAGATGCCTCCCTTATCTTGCGATAGCACCCAAATCTATTAATCACTATGCCTAATGTACTTTCACTATTCATTGGTTGAATATGTAGGCTCAGAACCCACTCCAACGATTTTTCAGCGGCCCTTGCTTTTGTGAGCTCGGCGTGGGGGCATGTCTGGTGCTTGGGCGCCGCTTTCGGCGCTACACTTTACGCTCTGAATCGCACGCTAGTCTCCAAGTTATAAAAGCTGGAGAACAAAGAGGGAATCGTACCAATTTAGCACGACTGGATTGCGCATGCTTAAGAACCTTACTACGCATTTTCTTCAGGGTTAGACCAATATCCTTAGGCTTCTGCTTCAATTCACGAACGAGAGCGGCGGTGGTGTAGGGCAGGAACTACCGTCGCACGATGCAACCCCCCCCCCTTCCTCACCATCAGTCTCAAGAGGCTCCCCCAAGCAGGGTCAACCGTTACGTTGGACCGATATTGGAGCGACGTTGGACCGATGTTGACCGCTCTCCGCGCCGGCATTCACTCTCGCCACCCGCGAGCCGTCTGTGTCTCCGTGCGTACGTTCACTCTCGGCATTACTCTCGTCGTCGCGTTGGACTTTGTCCAACGGACGGTTGACCCTGCCCCCAATATGACTCCCCTCCCCACTACCCTGACCGCCACTTTCGCCATTATGGCTGTTTCCATAGTATTTGATTCTGAGACCGGTCGTACCAGTCGCGACTCCGCACACATTCCACTTAGAAACAAGTGTCGACCGGGCGGGGGGAGAGTGAGGGATTGTGTTAGGAATGAAGCGTCAAATCCACTATCCCAATCATTTCATTACGTCTATTACATCGCTAGCTTCGTCAAATTTTCGCCAAAATCGTTGAAAACCCCGTCAAAACAACCCCCTTCTCCACAACCACAACCCCTTTCGAATTCCACAAACATGACACCTCATCCACACTCATATGGTTAGCCTCGCTGAACCTCATATGAACTAACCTTCCAAAATTAACGAATTCGACCCATGTTCGAATAGTGACCGGACGGCTGGCCCTGGTGTAGGAGCTAGGGTCATGTTTAGCGCGTACATGGTCCAGAGATCGGCTCCCTATATTGAACCCTGCCCTGGCCATCCGAATTTTCCATGTCCTCGGATGATTAATTAGTAATGGGCTCGTAGAGCTCAGTAAGATAAAGCTTGCTCAAGGCCTCAGCAAGGAAATGAGTAGGCCTGGGCTTGCTCGCTTACTGGTTAGGTA